TGCATAGTCTTTGGTTGTCTAGAATGAACTGCATGTTTGAGATCTCCCCAGACTGGCTCCTTATATTATAAGGAAATAGATAGATAGATAGATAGATAGATAGATTTTTTTTTAATCAGCTATTTAGGGCAACATTTTTTTATGTTTTGTTAATTTTGTCAACGCACCATAACATTGTTTGTTTGGTGAATAGATCCAGTAGTGCAATCTTTTTTTTAGAAAGCCTTGTGTTAATAGATGACAATAAATGGAAAATTGCTGTTAGTTTATGACGAAATGTCGATGACATAAAACAGAAAGAAACCATTGTTTAACCCCTTAAGGACACATGACATGTCACATATACATAGATACATTCTCATTAATTATATAAAAATTTCCAAAAATTGAAAAAATAAACAAAAAAATACATTTTTTTTTTCACCGTTTTGGCAATAATAGCGTGTGCATAATATGTCCAGCTTAGAAAAAGTAATTCAAAATAAATTAATTTGTGTGTCTTGATTTATAGAGTACATCATATGTCTAGGATTTCAGCTTATTTTGAAAGTAACAACTCACAAAATACAAGGACTAAAATAAAATTTAAATTTGCAACAATTTTAGAATTTGGTAAGTTTTTCTTGTAGGTTTAGTAGCCATCACAGAAAACAAAATTGCCACACAAAAGTATATATTTATATAAAGAAGACATCACAGGCTGTTTACCTAAGGTTAGTTGGACACTTTTTACAGCCATTTCATCGCCAATCTCTGCTAAATATTGGAGTAAAATTTTCTTTATTTTGACATATACACATATAACAAGGTTTTTGTAATGTGTATTTCGTAAAGCTGGTGTGTGCTATTCCTGCACAGAAGCCCATATTGTGTTCAGCTACATCTGCGGAGTATAACGATACCCCCATTGTATGCCTTTGGCACTATTCTGTAAAGCTACAGTGCCATATAAGAGACAAGGCTATTTCAGTTTCTATAATTAGAATTTTCGTAGATGGATTTGACCGGCCTATGTCTCATTTTAGGGTATTATAGCAGTGTGACTGTTCAAATAACCCCACAAAGGGCTTTCATTTGATAAAGCAGACACCCCAGGGTATCTTATATGGTGTATATTGTGCCTTAACTTGTCACCATTTTTTTCACGAATTTATGTCAATGTCTGAGGTGGGAGGGGGAGGGGTGGCATTTGTACATATATGCTGCATTTTTGCTGAGTATTTCTTACACTTAATATGTACCACTGTCATAAAAATCCCCAAATTATACTCAGTTACACCTTCTGAGTAAAACAATATGCCCAATGTATGACCTAGACACTATTTTGTGAAGTTACAGTGCTGTAAAAGAGACGTGACAAGTTCAGGTTTTTAAGTGTGAATTTTCATGGAGGGTTTTGATGCGTCCGTGTCCCACTTTGGAGCACTTGAGCAAGCTACATATTACAACTACACCATAAAGGCATACCATTTCTTAAAGAAGACATCCCAGGGTATTTCAAAAGGCATATTTTGAACTTTAGCGTGGGATACCCCCGTATGTACCTTTGCCAGGTGTATGTGGACATGAAAGGGGCACATTTGAGACACAGCCATTCAGTTTTTTTCTAAGTTTGAAGTTTTATGCTGTGTCCATGTTCCAATTTGGAGAAGTTTAGATGGCTGGTTATTGAAACTTCCACACAAGCACATACTATTTATTAAAGAATACACCCTGGGGTTATTCAAAAGACGTATTTTGAACCTTAGTGTGGGATCATTTTTTCTCTAGTTTGTTCCAGGTGTAGTGGTAATGAGCGTTTTTAAATGTATTTTTTTACTTTTTAAACTTTTTTTACTTTTTAAAACTAGTTTTTAAACTTTTTGTTTGCTTATTAATTTTTTTAAACTTTCCTAAACTTTCTTAACCCCTTAACCACTTAAGGACACATGACATATGTGACATGTCATGATTCCCTTTTATTCCAGAAGTTTGGTCCTTAAGGTGTTAAGGACCAAACTTCTGGAATAAAAGGGAATCATGACATGTCACACATGTCATGTGTCCTTAAGGGGTTAAAGTTTTTTTTTTTAACAGATTTAACATTTTTATAAGCTTTTTTTACCGTTAACCTCTAACTAGCAGTTAGCAGCACTAACAGTAAATTCCCCACTTTCCCATAACTCCCACCTACCTCAGCTAGCAAAATATATAATTATAAAATATTTAAATTAATTAGATACATTGAACCCCTGAGAGATCAAAAATAAATAAAAGTTAATCCTCAGGGGTTAAAAAAATGAGATCACCATATGATACTGTGATCTGTATTTTGATCACTGTAGGTAGTGATCGACTGGCAGGGAAGGGGATAATTTTTAATTGGACTTTTTTAAAAACTTTTAAAAAACTTTTTAAAGCTTATTTTTAAACTTTTTTTAACGTTAACCCCCAATTAACCTAATACCAAATCCCCCAATTCCCCACTAACTTCCACCCACCCCAGCTAACTAAATATATAATTTTTACATATTTAAATTAATTAATAAAATAAATTTAACCCCTGAGAGTTTAAAAAAAAAAAACCTCAGGGGTTAAAAAAAAAATCAAATGACAATAAAATGTAATCACTGCCAATTGATCACTATAGTCAGTGATCAATTGGCAGGGAAGGGGTTAATTTTTCTTTAAAATGGGTAAAGGGGGGTGGGACTTTAATTAAATTTTATTTTTTTTACACAGGGAGAAGATCACCGCTGATCTGTCTCCCTGCACTTCACACAGAACCCGGAAGCGCAGGGAGGCGGATGGTAAGTCCCTGCAGCACATGTGCTCGCTCTGACAGCCTGTAAGAGCGAGCACTGCTGCATGGGCAGTGCGATCCAGTGCTTCCGAGGCAGACCAGAGCACCGTTAACCCTGCGATCATCATGATCGCGGCGATCTGGGGTAATTGTAACCCATGACGGACCTGGTCCGTCACCCGTCGTTAAGGGTCTCCCCTGGGTGACGGACCAGGTCCGTCATTCGTCATTAAGGGGTTAAAGAAGTAATCACTCCCTGTATATATACAATTGCTGAATAAGGAGTTATAGAACAAATATACAGCTCTAGTTCTGCACATTATGTGAGAGATAGTTGTGCATGACAGGAGAATTGTACATTGTTAAAACGATCTATACTATCTGGATTTTTTCTTCTTTGCATGTTCTATATACATTAACCAAGCGCCACCTATTGGAGGATTAACAAAATATAGTTGTATACAGTTTATATTGCACATTCAATACTGCTCCACTTATAATTAAATTATTGTTTTGGTTTGGGTTGGTGCATTGGGATTGCACTTAAAGGACCACTATAGGCACCCAGACCACTTCAGCTCAACAAAGTGGTCTGGGTGCCTGGTCCATCTAGGGTTAACCTTGCAGCTGTAAACATAGCAGTTACAGAAAAACTGCTATGTTTACAATAGGGTTAATCCAGCCTCTAGTGGCTGTCTAACTGACAGCCGCTAGAGGCGCTTCCGCGCTTCTCACTGTGAAAATTGTAGGGGTTAACAATCTAAGAACCTCTTGTTGACGGACAGGAACCTGCTTCCCTCAAAGCGCGCTTTGGGAACCGGCAAGGAGACACACACACAAGGTAGCTGTTTCCAAACGAGTTCATCGGTTTATTGATACAATCATAATATTTATACTACAAAAGTAGCGAGTGATTACGTGGGCTGGTTTCTAACATTACTGCATACAGCTTTTCCCGCATGCACATAGAAAATGTTACAGTTTCAAGGTTTGTCCTATAAGCACATACCAGAGATAGTGAGTTACAGTTTCAGCAGAAAGTTTTAAGCTATTTCAGCATAAAATTTCAAACTGTTTTGCTTCTGCAAGCATGGATTAACCCTTCAAAAATCACAATGAGAAGACGCTGACGTCCATAGGAAAGCATTGAGAAATGCTTTCCTATGGACTGATTGAACATGCGAGCGGCTCTTGCCGCGCATGTGCATTCAACATTGACGTCAAAAGAGGGAGGAGAGTTCCCCAGCGCCGAGGGAGCCCGGCGCTGGAGAAAGGTAAAAGTTTACCCCTTCAGCACGGCAGCAGGGTGGTTTAAAGACCCTATAGTGCCAGGAAAACAAGTTTGTT